GAGGTAACACTGCAGGGTTAGGATTGGGTTAGGTCAGGGGTGTCTAGTCCTGTTCCTGGTGAGCCACCTTCCAGCAGAGTTTAGCTCTAGCCCTTACTAAACACACCTGAACCAGCCAGCCAAGGTCTACAGGATCAATACAAACGTCCAGGCAAGTGTGCTTGAACAAAACTCTGCAGAAAAGTGACCCTCCAGGAGCAGGATTAGACCCCTTGTTAGGTCAAATGTTGGGGGCTGGAGGGATCAACGGCAGGGGTAAGGCCCCAGTATACTCACAGCAAAGATCTTTGCTGTTCTTTGCTTAGGGTTAAAAATACATTTTAAAAGAAGTTTCAAATACCTTTGCAGCGGTATAATGTTAACATGAGCAAATGTTACATCCCTACTCTTTTTCGAAGGACATCCTGGGATTTTTAATGACCACAGAGTGTCAGGATCTCGGTTTAACGTCTCATCCGAAAGACGGTGTTTATCAGCCAGAGCAAACCCGAGAGCAACATCACGTTTTGGCCTCATTTTGTTTGAAATGACGTCGCACCAGTTCGTTCTTCGGTTTCGCTTAAAGTATTGTTGCCTAGAGGGGGTTAGAGTTCAGGCAGGGTTATGGTAAGAAATAGAACGTCAGAATTCAGATTGAAAGGGGTTGAAAGAGTAGGACTTGTGTAACATGAAGGGATGGAGGCCAGAATTTAGATTTGAAAGTTGCCGGTGAGGTTTAGGACTAGGAACTTAGCGCTAAGGTTAGGGCTGGTTTTAAGGGGTTGAGCTTCTCATTTACCAATGATTTTGCTCTGAATTTCGGGTAGGTTAGGGATTGGTTTGGATAGTCTTACCCTCATACGTCACTCCCATGGACCACCCACACCCGCTCTTTGACTGTATATATGGCACACTAAACTGGAAACACTTGTGTGAAGGCAAAAGTCTAATCTGAAAAGTCTCAAGTGAAATCTGGCTAATTTCTACAGGTTTACTAAGAGATTTGGTGTCCAACAGTTCACCAGGAAACAAAAGCTTTGTAAACAAGTACCGGGTGTAACCCCTTTGGTTCTACTCCCCCGGTTTTACTCCCCCGACTTGCTCCGAGAAGGATTTGAACTGGCGTTTCCAACAAGGACGCTAAAGACCGTAGCTTCTAGCATCAGACGATTGTGCACCTCTTAATATCAGCGGAATGAGGTTTACCTGCGCAGCTTTTACCAGCTGGCCTCCGTTACAAGGGACTACAGCAATGAGTGCTTCAACTAATTTCTGGATTTAAAAAAAAAAGTTTGTGAAGTTCACAGCTAAAAGTCATTTAAGTGTTTTGTTTGAGGCATTTTGAATTTAAAAGAGATGTGTTGACAATACCTATAGACATACCTATAGTTTACCTATAGCATACAAGAAAAGTTATATTTTTTCCGAGCTTGGTTGAACCTCTGGATTCTGTGTGATTTCATGTCATCAGTAGTGTGTCCTCTGAAATACCTCACTGAGAAGGAAATATCTGTGGCATACTCAGGTAAATATGTGACATTTAACATGCCCCTAAACATGACGTTGAACAAAACATAACTGTGATCGGTCACTTTTCAGATGACCTCTTCCTGACTAAGTGAGCAGTCGTTGGCCAATTTCAGTGGCTATAGAGCCCAAACCTTATGTCGTTTGGCAATGGTCTGGCTACATGAGACTAGGATTAGGGTTGGGATGGATTTATGACTATAACTTGACTACACATGACATTGTTCCAGGTCCAACAAAGGGTGTTGATCCCACTTGTTCTGCCTAATTATTTGCTGCCCAAATAACCTTATGTATTGGGTCATCGTGAACAAAAGGTTCAACTTGAGATACTGCCCTTGAAATAAACGTTCACCACCTTACTTTACATTTGGTAAGATCCTCAGTAATAAAAACATGGATTCTTTAAGCATAGCTAGATTTCCACTGTTGACTACAATGTCCTTTATAGCCCACAACTATGAGGCCAAAGGTAAAGACAGTAGATAACCCACTAACCCTCTAGTCGTCCGATCTCTTTGCGATTGTCCTTGCAGTAGGACGAGACTTGTTGAATGGCATCCTCAGTGTCGCCTAATCTATTCTCAAGTCGTGACATTCTTTCCAACAGTTGTGTAACTTTAATGTCCAATGTGTAATGTCCCACATTAAGCCTGTGGATAGCCTGATCCATCGCTGCCAGTCTAGACACTGCAAAAATGTATAAATAGACAAATGTGAATCAAGTCTTTCATTAGTCAGCTATGCTGCTGCATACCAGTGAATGAATAGAATATTAAGAAACTGTGTTGTGGAGGGGGAAGGGGTTGACAAGGTAGCTGATGATATAGAGTGTCTGGATTCTTGAGTAGCGTTTTTTTTTTTTAGATAGAATCTTGCTGAAGTTGCATTATGTAAATTACATACCCAGACTATTAAATATTACCATACAAAAAAGCCTTCATGTCATGCCAGGACAAACAACACCTGTTATTTGCAAGGCTGTTATTGCAATTAGAATATATGCAAATATACATTCCGTTGGATTGGTTTTGGCTTGTTTTTCTGGCTCTTCAGATGGAAGTGGGTAAGTGAAGCGAGTGTTTGGTTAACGCACGGATGTAGTTGTAAGTGCTCTCCATTTCAGAGACTGCAGTGGTGGGTTCAGGTTCTATGACGTCAGGAGTGTCCCCTCGCCCTCTAACCATCTCCTCATTGAACACTCTCACCTGTAGAATTAAACGACAGCAAAACCACCATCAAAACCAGATTTAAGGCTGGAATACACTACACAACTTCTGCCCATATTTTTGCCCCAATTTACACTGAAAGAGTCAACAGTAGTTGCCAAAATTCAGAGGCAGTCTGCAATTTTGGCCAGTCACAGATTTTGCAGAAAATTGCATAGTATATGATGACCACTTTTTTTTTTTTAGCTCAGACTATGAATCCATTCAGTGGCAGGATATACAAGAGATTTAATTCTTTGAGCCAATTGTAGAACAAATCATGTTTTCATTTTACATCGATTTCCTAGCAATGTTTCTGTGTGGGTTTGTTGTGTTCAGAGCAGTGTGTGACCCTTAGTCATAAAGTGTATGATGCCCAATTTTCCTCTGTAACCAACATAGCCAAATATGTGATGCCTAGTGGTTTGAAATCTGTTCAGATTAATAGTCGCATAGTTGAATCCAGCCTTTGCCTGATACAGAATACACATGCACAATCACACTGGAGGTCCTGGCCAGGCACTTCAAGTAATGTGATTGCTAATCGAGGATGTTTTGTAGCAACCAGAAGTGTATGCCCTTGACTTTTGCTCCCACTTAATAAATGCAGACGCATTTTGAACTAGCTTCATCATTCCAAAGCGGTACAGTAACCCCAAGTAGAAAACCATAGTGATGCAGCATCATGGTACAGTGAAGGCATCATATGGTAATACCCTGGTATTTTGATGTATGTTAAGGTGTTTACATTATACTCCAAAGCACTTCAAAGAATACCATTTTTTTAGCATCATGGTAGGTTTTTGAAGACACATTTTGTAAATTAAACTTACAAAATTGTTTCAATGGAACACATTAATTGTGTTTATATATCAAGTTATATTTAAAGAAAATGTCACCGTTAAACAGTAAATAGATAATTTCCCACAAAGTAAATCTAAAATCTTAACCTGAGACAGATCAGCTGTTGTGATGGCCGCTCTCGTGGTGTTCTCGCCAGAGTAACAGGAAGACAGAGCGCTGAAGCCCACTACAGCCGCCAGAATCACTGTTAGACTCATCTCCACTTCAAATCACTTCACTTCATAAATCCCTTTCTTCTGTTCAGCCAGCTCTCTGTCTTACTGCATATATTCACAACTCCGGATGTTCACTCAACAGCAACCTTCTCTCCTCCTTTCACATCGCTTTCAACTCTGTCTCGCTCTATCGTTCACCTCTATACAGCTGTTTTGTTTTAGCCTCCTCCCTCTCTGCAGCTGTCGGATACTTTTCCTCCTCCTTTCACCTTGTCTGAAAGATTCCTTTTTTCTTTCTTTCAGCTGCTTGTTCCTGAGTTTTATACCCAAACACTGGATTTTTTTTCCCCATTCCTCCCACTTCCATTCTTTGTGCTAACATGGCAGTTTTACTGACACAGCTCTTTCTCCCTCTTCCATAAACATTTAAATAGATCTTCATTTTCTTGTCCAAGACTCAGCTTTCTGTTTTTGTCCCTTGGGAACATGCTGTTCTGTAGAAGTCAATAGTGGCCGAATGACAGGAAAATGATGAACGTCTCATTACCAGCTGAGTTCTGTCTCCACACATGGAAGGAATTTGGACTTCTCGTCCTCTAAACAGGACACTTCTCTCTTTCTTGCTCACTTCCTCTGGAGGAGACTTTGGAAGGGAGTTAGAAGTAAGAATGGAGTTTTGCCCAAAAGAATCCAGTTCATTACATAAAGTCTAACTAAGCAAATCTCTCCCAGATGAATGTGTCTAGACATTATACGGTACAAGAAACAGATAAACAGCTTAGATGTCTACCTTTGACAAATAACAATTAGAAAAAACTCCAAAACCATGGATATCTACTGTTGTTAGACTGATCTAAATCCACCTATCAACTGAACTCCTTAAAAATAATTCAGATATAGCAAAAAAACAAAAAACCTTTGAACGGTTGAATGACCTCTTGGAAAACTACAGGACCACTTTCCAGTCAGAAATTAACAAGGCCTTTTTCAAAACATGTGGCGCAATAACGTCAATCCACCAAAATAAAAATTACTGCCTGGGGAAATAAACTCATATTAGGAGCATTTTGAAAATGCCACATATGTGACCATATCAACGCACATCCAACAGTTATATTTGACTAAAATAAATAACACTCCGGGCAGTGAACTGACAAAAGGCAGAAAACTGTCACGGGATTTATGAATAGAGCTCCATCTTTCTGTTTTCAATTAGTGCTACACTGCCCCCTACCAGGCAAGAGAAGAATGAGACAAACTACAAGAGTTAGTGTACTTCTTTTATTGTACTTATCTTCCATTACAGATATATGAATGCATAAATACTGGCTCCAGGCCACGCATTCGTATTCAACAAAAACATCTCGCAACAAAGCTCCAAAATTGATTTCTACCCTTGAACCCTAGTTAGCTTAGCCCTGAATCATACGACAGACAAGTACGTAAATGGAAATGTCGATTTCACACGTCCAAAATCAAGCAGTTTGTAAACATCAAACGCAAGCGAAGAGTGAGTTATATCTACGCGTTTACAGCTAGCTACCTGAACAATAGCACATTCAGTTTCAGTTAACTCTATCGCCCCCTTGAGTTCTGGAGTTTGTAATTGCCATAACACCCGTTTAATGTTGCAGCTACATTTGCGTACTTGCGTGGAGTATGTTTTTGGCCTAACAACGAATGGAGATTTTAACTATTGCTTTTTAAGTTATTAAGTCAACTCTGGTGTACTGGGCTACAGGAAAGAGACAAAGAAAGGAAGCATTCAGGAGAATGAGGAGAAAAGTCAATGATTCACTTCAAAGCATACAATGAAAGTAGCACGCATATAAAAGGTCTACAAAACAAGCAAGGTGCAAGTCATCTCCTCTAAAGCATGCTAGCGCTACGGTGTCTCATTTAGGTCCTTATCAATAAAAGTACAGTGAAGCATCTTAACACTAGTTTTGAGGTCTAGATAAATATAGATAAAAATGTATGGCAGTGACGGTGATGTAGCATTCACACTAGTAGTTTTAGTGTGGATCTGAGTTCTGGCTTGTTTGATTAATGCATCTTCCGAACTTCTGTAACCGAAAGAGGGGTTTGTTTTAATGTGAACCACAGTATGGTTCGTGGTTGATGTGAATGCAATCCAGAAGTGGGCTGGTACTGATTAAGTATATTGTGCCAGTTTGGTAGTCACATCAAACAAAAATTTTAAACATTGTTCAGCAACTTTAAGATTTCAAACTTCATTGCCTGGATACACAGGATAAACAGCTTTTGGTGGTTCTAATGTTGATGGTGAAAGAATTTTTGCAAACATACCACAGTTTAGAATAACAATAACAGTGGGAAAGCAGACCAACAGGGCCAGGAGAGTAGAGTCGATGGGTTCTGACTCAAGCAAATGTACCAAGTGTGAAAACAACATATGCTCTGTTTAAAATCCTATCTGATGTATCATAGCTCATGCATTCAGTAACTTCTAACCAGTGAGATGGAGTCAGACAGATTAAGATTTTACTACAATCATAGAGATATTGATGCACTCTAAAGAAACTACTGAAGCATTTGGATTTAAAAGGAAAGTGTTCGGTAGTTTTGGGTTTGTGGTGCTTGTAGGTCCTGTGATCTGGAATGGGTTCTTCAGGATATTCATGCGTTACCAGTTGTCCAAGAAGTCAAATCCAGTCTTCAGGATACTGCTGCTTGTGTTAAACTGAAAAAAGGAAATACAACCATTTATGTTGTTAGTGGTTAAAAGTTAGTAGAAAAAAATCAAGAGAAAATGTGGGTCAGTGACTTACAAGTGTAAGTAAAAATAAAAGAGTAAATGCATAAATTAAAATAAATAAATAAAATTAATAATTTAGATTATGTATATAATTTTGATTATAATTTAGATTGTTGGCATATATACATACATATATATACACATACATACAAATATATATATACATACACGCATATATATATATATATATATATACACACGCACTACCACTAGTTTGGGATCAGTAAGACTTGTAATGTTTTTAAAGAAGTCTCTTCTGCTCATCAAGGCTGCATTTATTTGACCAAAAATACAGAAAAAAACTAATCTTGCAAAAAGTTATCACAATATAAAATAATGGTTTCCATTTTAATATATTTTCAAATATAATTTTTTTTCTGTGATGCAAAGCTGAATTTCCATCAGCCATTACTCCAGTATAAAGTGTCACATGATCCTTTAGAAATCATTCTAATATGCGGATTTATTATTAGAATTATCAATGTTGGCAACAGTTGTGACTGGAGTAATGATGCTGAAAATTCAGCTTTGCATCACAGAAATAAATTATATTTTTAAAGTATATTAAAATAGAAACCATTATTTTAAATTGTAATAACATTTTGCAAGATTACGGTTTTTTTTCTGTATTTTTGTATTAAATAAATGCAGCCTTGATGAGCATACGAGACTTCTTTAAAAAAACATTACAAGTCTTACTGATCCCAAACTTTTGAGTGGTTGTGTATATATATATATA